CATTGCCTCCCAGTACAATTCCTTTCTTTCCCCTCCTCGCATAAGTGTTAACTATTGGGGGCCTAACAACATGCTTCGAAGGATCTTGACCGTATCCTTTGGAGGTGTGAGCTTACTCAGACTATTTGGAATCAACTATTTGTGACTGTTGGGATCTGCTAGGTGCGTAATAGGGATTCTTGTTTTACGGTGGAGGAAGTTTTTTTGAATCCTCCCTCCCAAGAGAAGGGCAGAGTACTCTGGCAGCATTTTTTTGTCGTCGTGTGTGGCATTGGGCTTGAGGGGGTTGGTAGAATTTTTAGAGGGATAGAAAGGTCTTGGAAGAAAGAGGTTTGGGAAGTTATTAGGTTTAATATTCATGTTGTGGGCATCTTTTCTCTCCCTTTTTTGAATATTATTAGTTAGGACATATTCTTTTGGATTGGGATCCGTTTCTGCCTAGTTAGGGTTGAGGCTCCTTTTGTGACGCTCGTTTTTATTGCATGTATATATGCTTTTATGTTTTTCAGTAAAGCTTGGTTTTTCAACAAATAAATAATAAAATTTTGTGACAACAGGTCCATCGACTTTTGACAGTTATACTCACCATTTTGAACTACAATCTGATGCACGCTAACAATAGAGTTTCTTGAAGATCAAATGAATCATACTTTTATTAAAGAGGAGGGACCTATTTATAGGGGCAACCCTTAAAAGACAAAACAGTAACTACAAGTTACTGCACAGTAACTGTATATTTAAAATACAGAAGCTTATTCCCTAACTAAATAACAAAAAACTAAAGAATAACTTCTTATGTTCTACATCAATTTCCCCTACCCTAAAACAAAACTCGTCCTCGAGTTAGGATGCAAGGGAAAAATCATCCGGAGGATGGTAGCTATACAAATCAGCAACATTAAAAACAGAGCTAATGTTGTAAGTTGGGGGCAGTTGAAGTTTGTAGGCGTTTGTTCCGTATCGTTCAATGACTGGGAAGGGGCCTAACTTCTTTTCTTTTAACTTTGAATACGTCCCCATAGGAAATCAGCTTTTCCTTAGGTGAATCATAACAAGTTCTCCGACTTGAAATTCCTTGAAGCGTCTCTTTTTATCAGCTGCAGCTTTATACTTGTCATTGGCTTGAGCGATGTGACGTTGGACCTCCTGATGTAACTCCGAAATTCTGCTGGTCATTTCTTCTGCCTCCAAACTAAGATCAACAAAGGAAGGGAGATTAGTGAGATCTATAGTTAACCTAGGAAACTTAGTATAAACTACCTCAAATGGGGACTTCCCCGTAGTTCAATTCTTCATACGGTTATAGGCGAATTTTGCTTGAGCCAGAGCTAAATCCCATTGTTTGGGTCGATCACCACTAAGACATTGGATAAGATTTCTCAAAGATCGGTTTGTCACCTCTGTTTGGCCATCTGTCTGTGGATGACTAGTAGCGTTGAACTTTAAAGAGGTATCAATTTTTTTCCACAAAGTATGCCAAAAATGGCTCGAGAATTTTACATCTCTATCATAAACAATAGATTTAGGGATGCCGTGAAGGTGAACAATCTCTCTAAAAAATAATGTCGCGATAGAGACGGCATCTGATGTCTTTTTGCAAGCCAGAAAATGAGTCATCTTGCTAAAACGATCAACAACTACCATAACCGAGTCAAACCCACGTTGTGTTCGTGGGAGCCCAAGGACAAAGTCCATTGAAAGATCTTCCCAAATATTTTAGGGAATAGGTAAAGGTGTATATAGGCCTGTGTTTTGTGTGGTGCCTTTATATGTTTGGCGCACAAAACACTTATTAATGTAATTGGAGACATCCTTGCGGACTTGCAGCCAAAAGAACCTTGTTGTAATAATATCGAGTGTCTTGTCTCGAACCAGGTGTCCCCCTAGGCCGCCCATATGTACATCATGTAAGATAGCGTCTCGAAGGGATGTGTGCGGTACACACAATGTGTTCCCTTTAAAAAGATATCCTTCAACTATGTGATAGTCATCGACTGCCATATGATTGTTACATTTGTACCAAATATCCTGAAAATCTTGGTCACCTTCGTACATATCAGGGAGGTGATCAAAAGCCACAATTTCTCCTTTAAGAATAGTCAATAAGCTCCCTTTTTTGCTTAAGGCGTCTGCTGCTTTATTGGTGGTCCCTACTCTGTGTTTGATTACAAAATCGAATCTTTGCAAGAATGATAACCAACAGGCATGCATGCGACTTATTGCTTTTTGGGTGTGTAGGAATTTTAAGGAGAAGTGGTCAGTATATAAGATAAATTATTTACTTAAAAGGTAGTGTTCCCATTGTTTTAACGCCTGAACTAATGAATAGAGTTCTTGCTCATAGGTGCTCCATTTTTGTCTAGATGGGCTAAGCTTCTCACTAAAATATTCTATGGGATGATTATTTTGGGATAATACAGCTCCAATTCCTATACCGGAAGCATCCACAACCACTTCGAAGGGTAAGTCAAAATTAGGGAGGGTTAAGATTGGGCTTTGACTAAGTTTAGTTTTAATAAGGTGAAAACTATCACCCTGTGGTTGTCCCCACAGGGTGAACAGTTAGTTAATGGAGATATTATGGAACTAAAGTCTCTAATCAACTTTCTGTAAAAAGACGCAATCCCTAGGAAGCATTGAACATCTTTTACTGTTTTTGGTTCTGTCCATTCAGTAATAGCCTTAATTTTTTTTGGGTCCATGTGGACTTTGTTATAGCCAATAATGCATCTTGGGAATGAGATTTCATTAGCCAGAAAGAGACATTTCTTAAGATTAATTACTAACTTGTTAGAAGCTAAAGTGGAGAACAATATTCGAAGATGCTTAATATGGTCAGTAATGTTTTGGCTATAAATGAGAATATGATCGAAATAAAACACAATAAATTTATTGAGAAAAGGGAGTAATACCTGGTGCGTAAGTCGCATGAACGTACTAGGGGCATTTGATAGTTCAAATAGCATGACTAGCCATTCAAACAAGCCTTCATTTGTTTTAAAAGCCGTTTTCCATTCGTCACCCGGACGAATGCGAATCTGGTGATAACCACTCTTTAGGTCCACCTGAGAAGATAGTGGCCTGCCCAAGTTGATCCAATAGATCACTGATTCTAGGAATAAGAAACCGGTATTTAATAGTAATTTTGTTTATTGCCCGACTATCGACACACATACGCCATGTGCCATCTTTATTTGGTGTAAGTAAAGCCGGAACAGCACAAGGGCTAAGGCTAGGTTGTATATAGCCTTTTTTCAACAAATCTTCAATCTGCTCATGTAAGATTTTATATTCAGAGGGGCTCATTTTATAATGGGCTAGGTGAGGAAGTATGGCTCCGGAGATAAGATCATATGATGTTGTATATTTCGTAGAGGAGGTAGACCTGTTGGCTCATCCACTATAGTATGAAATTCATTTAATAGGTGCTGTATTTCAGGATGGACAGTGGGTGAGCATGTAACCGAACTAAACTCCTTAATAACCAATCCAAGGATAGGTGCATTGCTAACGATAGGAAATTGTTTTGCCGAAGAGATTGTGAATAAAGGACCTTTCCCTTTATCATTTTCCTTTTGAGTGAGAGCTTTAGATGGGTTTAATGGGAGTAATACCACTTTTTTACCCATCCACCAGAATTCATATGTATTATCCCGCCATTTATGTAGTCCTTGAGTATCGTATTGCCACGAACGTCCCAACAACACATGGCATACATCCATGTCTAACACACCGCACATAATTTGATCTCTATATGTTGCTCCAATGGACAAAGCAACGGTACACATATGGGAGACTTGTGTTTCCCACCTTTTTTAATCCATGAGACTTTATACGGGGCAGGATGAGGGGATAAAGGGAGGTGTAAAGCAGTAACTAACTTACTTGTAATAATGTTCTCGGTGCTCCCACTATCTATTATTATGTTGCAAATTTTGCCATTTATCGTGCACTTTGTTCTGAAAAGTGCATGCCGTTGAGATGCTACCTCAGTTTTAGGAGTCAGGAGAACTCATTGAAGGACACAAGAGACCGGATCCCTCTCATTTGGCTCATATAGTCAACATCCTCCTCCAAATCTTCACCACTTTCTTCTTGGGCAGCATCCTCATCTACTAAGTTTAGCACCTTCCTTTGTGGACATTCATTAGACAGATGACCGGTTTGGCCGCACCGAAAGCATTTCCCTAACATTGGTCGGCTATATGTGTTGCCTGTCTTTTTCCTTGCCATAGGAGCAGACAATTTTTCGTTACTAATATCCAAGTCAGATTGTTTACCTTTGGCTGCTGCAGTGGTGCGACTTGGGGAAGAAAAAGAATCGTTTGAAGCAGCGGTCTTCTTGGATGTACCCCCTTGTTCCCAAGTTGGTCTTCTTGAATATTGCTTCTTGAATCGATTACTAACTTGTTCTTCTATAGTAATCGTCGTAGAAATAGCCTCATTTAAATACCCAATTGGTTTGAGAGCGATTTGTTCTTTAATATCAGCCCGCAAACCACCAATGAATCTAGCCACAAGGTGTTGCTGACTTTCCAACAAATTGGTTCGTGCTCCCAACCGATGAAATTCTTCGGAGTAATCGGCTATAGATCTTGACCCTTGTTTACAATTTTGATATTTATTGTACAAGACTTGCTCAAAATTGATTGGAAGAAAACGTTCCCTCATGAGTTTCTTCATTCGCTTCCAATTTCGAATGGGTTGTTTCCCATATCGGTGCCTATTGATTTCTAATTGATCCCACCAAGCCGAAGCTCCACCCTTTAATTTTAAAGCTACTAGCCTCACCTTTTGTGTCCAGGGGTTCCCATATAGCTAAAAAAGTTTTCTACATTCTTTATCCAATCCAAAAAACCTTCCATATCCATCTTACCATTAAAACTAGGAAGGTCAATTTTCATCTTGTATTCATTATTTTCCTACTGCCTATTAGGATTAGGATACCTACCGAACCTCTCACCTTCAAAGGCTACTAGTTCGTCTTCTTCGTCGCTTGAGGAATCGAAAATCAGCTCATTTCGCCGCTGAAATAATGGGTTTCTGTTGACTTCTTGGCGCAAATGTTGTGGTTCTTGGAAGTTTCTTGGTCCTAACTGGATTGCTTGAGGTCTTCTTGGTGGGGCTGTCTACCTTTCTTGCAGATAGGTGTTTCTTTGGCCTTCTATTCCCACTTCTTGATCCATTCTTGCTCGGTGTTGAGGAGGAGTTCGAACCGGGGATTGCTGCACACTTAAAGATTCAAGTTTCTCATGGATAATTTCCAGAATTTGCTTAATCTCACCCACGTCCTTCTGGATAGCTTTCACGTCTCCTTCAACCGACAGCAAGCGTACAGTTGATGATCGTGGTGAGAGGACAGCTGTTGATTCCGTCTCTTTTCCGGTGAGGGAAGAGTCTCCAATAGTGCTCTTCTTGCTCGCCATTTCTTGCACCCAAGATTGAAAGTGCTCTGATACCAATTTTGTTAAATTATAGTTTATTTTATTTTAAAGGTTTCCTATTTTATTTAGGTTAGGGTTTTATTGTTCTAATAGGTAAGTATTTCCTTATCTTAATAGGCAAGAATTTCTTTTTAGTTTCTTCTTTGTAACTGCTATTTATATAGCCTTGTATCAATCATTTAGAATAATCAAGGAAGAATTATTTTCTTTTCTTATTATTAACATGGTATCAGAGCTCTAGGTTTCTTCAAAAAAAAAATTTTTAACTTAGTTTTTTGTGCCCATTAGGGTTTTGTGCCCATTAGGGTTTTGTTCCTTGGGGTTTTTTTTCATTGCTATCCAACACTCACCTGGATATGGAATGCTTTTCTACATGGTGATCTTGAAGAAGAAATTTATATGGAGATTCCACCTGGATATCAGCAAGTAGGAAATAAAGTTTGTAAATTAAAAAAGGCATTGTATGGATTAAAGCGAGGAAATTTATATGCTTTTCTCCTAGGGCATGGTTTGGTAGATTTTCTCAAGTCATGAGGAAGATGGACTATAAACAAAGTCAAGGAGATCATACATTGTTTATAAAACATTCTGCTACAGGGGGAGTAACAGCATTGATTGTTTATGTGGACGATATTATCGTCATTGGCAATGATAATAATCAGCAAGAGAAACTGAGAAATTGTTTAATCCAAGAGTTTGAAGTTAAAGAATTGGGAAGACTGAAATATTTTCTTCGGATAGAAGTAGCCTATTCTAAACAAGACATATTCTTATCACAACAGAAATATGTGATTGACCTACTTTCTGAAACAGGAAAGCTTGGCAGCAGACCAATAGGAACGTCGATTGATCAAAACCATAGATTATGTGCATCTGAAGAGAGTCCTCCAGTAAATAAGGAAACTTACCAGAGGTTAGTTGGAAAATTAATATATCTTTCTCATACGAGACCAGATATTGCGTATGCTGTAGGAGTGGTAAGCCAATTTATGCATAGTCCAAAAGAAATTCATCTTCAARYTGTGTACCGAATACTCCACTATTTAAAGAACTCCATTGGGWGAGGATTGTTGTTTAAGAAAGGCGAGAAACTCAATMTAGAAGTTTATACAGATGCAGATTATGCAGGATCGATAGACGATAGAAAATCCACTTCTGGCTATTGTACTTTCTTTGGTGGGAACTTAGTGACATGGAGAAGTAAAAAACAAAATGTAGTTGCAAGATCAAGTTCAGAAGCAGAATTTAGAGCAATGACATTGGGCATCTGCGAATTACTGTGGATAAAAATTATTTTAGAAGATTTGAAGATTCCATGGGAAGGGCCAATGAAACTTTATTGTGATAACAAGTCTGTCATCAGTATTGCACATAATCCAGTTCAACATGACAGAACCAAGCATGTTGAAGTTGATAGACACTTCATAAAAGAGAAGTTAGATAGCGGCCTCATGTGTACTCCATTTGTACCACCAAACAATCAAATAGCATATATTCTTACAAAAGGATTGAACAACAACAACTTTGAGCATTTGGTTAACAAGCTGGGAATGGAAAATATTCATTCACGAGCTTGAGGGGGAGTGTTAAATTATAGTTTATTTTATTTTAAAGGTTTCCTATTTTATTTAGGTTAGGGTTTTATTGTTCTAATAGGTAAGTATTTCCTTATCTTAATAGGCAAGAATTTCTTTTTAGTTTCTTCTTTGTAACTGCTATTTATATAGCCTTGTATCAATCATTTGGAGTAATCAAGGAAGAATTATTTTCTTTTCTTATTATTAACAAATTTGATGCACACTAACAATAGAGTTTCTTGAAGATCAAATGAATCATACTTTTATTAAAGAGGAGGGGCCTATTTATAGGGGGCACCCTAATAAGACAAAACAGTAACTAAGTTACTGTCAGTAACTGTATATTTAAAATACAGAAGCTTATTCCCTAACTAAAATAACAGATAACTAAAGAATAACTTCTTATGTACTACATCACTTTTGATCTAGGAAGACTTGATAAACTTATGAGGAGAATAGTGATTAAACGAGTCAGTAACGTTAAAATTTGGACCCATGTACAGATTAGTAGGCAGTTCACATACCCAAGGAATCTGTGATACCTGACCTCACCATTTATTCTTGTTATTTTGTTCGAGAGTCTGAGAAGAAAATGCTGTTTTGAGAAAGTAACTAAATAGGATCTTAATTATTGCTTATGCTATGGTTGGTTCGATTCAGGTCAAACATACCAAACGAGAACTGCACAATGTGTTCATTAGAAAACTTTACAGGTATGCACGATTCTAATGTCATGGGATTCTGCTTTTGGGCTCCTGAACTTGTATCTCTATAACTTCATGACATTCTTCTATAAAAAAAATAAAAAATAAAAACTTAATGACATTCTAGATTTCATCCTTTTGTTAAGTGTTCTATGTTTTGATGTAATGTCTTAAAACAGAGAGAACCTATTTGAAGAGATGTTGCAGGAGCCTGATGATGTGGCAACGAAGAGAGGGCGTACAAGGGAAACTCTCCGTGTACTTCAGGAGGCTTTTCGGGTATGGTTTTCCTGGTCACATGACAATTGGCGATGCTTCCATCTTGATGTCCTTCATTGGTTGTTTATAATGGTTTTATCTTTTTGATGATGTTTCATAACATGTTATATAGCTCATTTCATTGTAGCTACTGAAATCTATTATGCATTAAAAAGATGGTAATAATAACCAATCTGATGGTGAGTTATGAAGCAATAATAGTATGCAGATAAAGTGGAAGGGTGAAAGAAACAGAGAGAGAATATGAATGAATAATATATGATGTCGTAAGTGATGCTGTAATGAAACATCCAGATGGATTCATTATTAGATGTGTTCATCGAACAAAAAGACTGAGAATATCAACTCAAAGAACAATGAAGAGCTCTGATCCTGTAGAAATAAGTTGTGGTTCAGTTTGCTGTCTGATATTGACATTAGTATGAATGTATTTCTATGAAATCATCTTTTCCATGTTTGTAGACATTGGATGAATTACCTTTGGAGGCTGAAACAGTTGAAAAGGGATATAATGTGGGTTCCGACCCCATGGGATTACCGAAGATCTGTGGACTGCCACCATTATCCATGTATTCTACATCCAGTTCCGGTGATCCATTTTCTGCTTCTCCAAGGCATCTGAAATCCCGCAAGTCATCTCCATCAGGGGAGCTTTTAACTTCATTCCATCCTAGTGCTGGTTCTAATGGAGGTGGATTCCCCTACATGCCGGGCCATTATTCATCTGCCGATCCGTATGACTTCTGAATGTTCATAAGAGTCCAGTCATACCTAATGAAGCCAATATATTCGATTTACTGCTCGACAAGCGCGGTTTTGGAGTTTTACCAACCAGAACTGGATTGATGGGGAGCTAGCTCCTTCTACTAACTAAGATTACATCAAAGATCAAAATAATTTTTTCCTCTGCACATCCTTCTGTGTTCCTTGATATATTTTAGTGTTAGATTGCATTATTTCTAAAGCTGCCATTAGAATAAATAGGGAGCAGATGGAAAACTAGTCACTCCATTTTTGGAAGCCAGCCAGCTGGTTGTAAAAATATTTTGCAGTGAAAGTGTCCAGAGAAATAATTAGTCACTCAAATGGCTAATTTTGCAGCTGCTGTAGTTCATCAATTGTAATTTTATTTATTTATTTTTATGATTCTTGTAACTATGCTGCTCCACATCATATCATATTGAGGGGTTTTGTATTTTTGTTATTGCGATTTTGAGGTCTTCTTATGTGTAACCGAATAATGAGCTATTTTCAAAATAATTTGTTCCAATCTTGCAGATGAACAAAAGTGGGTGAGCTCTCTCTCATGAAACTCTATATCTCTCTAAATTAATTATACTTTGTGGAAAATGATTTTTTTCCCTTAAAAAACAGAACATTGCAAAAAAAATGAGGGATGATTGTAACTCGAAATCCATAAGATGTGGTATAAGCGTCTAGCAACTTGAATTAGATTCAGGCTGACTTTGAAAAAGGTGCATCTATACCATCTAGAACAAGGTCTTTTTTCTTTTTCCAAGTGAAAGGGTAGAATAGAACAACATGCCAAGTATCCAAAATTGCAGTACTACATAAGTTTATCAGCCCAAGATTCTTTCAATGCTTTGCAAAATCTTTCAATGCTTTGAAACAGTTGAAAAGGTATGAAAGGTCTTTTTTCTTTTTCCAAGTGAAATGGTAGAATATAACAACATGCCAAGTATCCAAAATTGCAGTACTACATAAGTTTGAAAGATTTGAATTTTAAATCTGGAATTGTCAGCCCAAGATTCTTTCAATGCTTTGCAAAATCATGTTATGCTTATAATCCAACAACCAATGAGGTTTTTTTTTTTTTACTTAAGAATTGATGGGTAAAATAATAGCCATCATAAAGTAATAACTGTTACTTAAAAGTTTTTACATTTAATTTATGGGTGTAAAAGCAAAAAACTGGTAATAAACAACTATTGAGAGAAACAGGGCAAGACGCTATGAAAGATAATTTCATTATTTCTAAGCTTTGGTTGTCCACTGAAACCACTATTTTTTATTCATGACATTCTGCAATATGGTGACGTAGACCGTGGTTCGAAATATCTATCGACACGTCGATATTTTCATCGACATATCCATATTTTCATAGGTTCAACATCGACATGAGGGATAAATAAATCGACATTTCCATCATAATACAAAAAAATCGACAAAATATGAAAAATATTAACAAAATGTCACTAATGTATACATAATATCAATATTAATTATTTTCTAAATTATTTAGAAACATGAAAATGTTTATTTGTTAATTTAAATATTTTTTACGATTTTTTAATTTCTATAAACTTTACAAAAATATCCATCGACATCGACATTTTATCGATATTTCCATCGATATTTCTATGAAATTGAGACAAGGCAAATAGAGCTTTTGCACATTTTCGTTGATCCATGAACAGGATCTATATAGACACATAGGCCCATGGATCCATACATCTCGATCGGAAAAGAATCAATAGAAAAAGAAAGAATCGGAATTGATCGATATATTTCTYGAAACAAACGAAAAGGAAACGAAAGACGAAACATAAATCATGGATCAACTAAGCCAAGCCCTCTCGGGGACTTGCTTAAGAATAAGAAAGAGGAATCTCATGTAAATACCATGGAATAAGGTTTGATCCTATTCNCAACTAAGCCAAGCCCTCTCGGGGACTTGCTTAAGAATAAGAAAGAGGAATCTCATGTAAATACCATGGAATAAGGTTTGATCCTATTCATGGGAATTCCGTAAATATTCCATTCCAAAAAGAGAAAGTTCGAAACAATTGGGATTTTTTTGGAGATTGGATCCTCGACATTTCCATACATTTAAAACCTTGATGTAGACACAGTTGATACATGATCGTATAAAATTTATCAACTTTGAATGTACATATATTCCACATAGAACTCTTCCGAACCTGAAAGGAAATTCAAGGTAAAAAAGAGAAGAATGAAACTAAGAGAAAAATATGGAAAGGAAAAACGTGAATCAGCTTCATCAGGATTATCAGTCAAGAACCTATCGTCTTTAAATTTTGTGTAATGGAGAATGTAAAGAGTTTGGTTTGATAGTGACCTAACGAGTTAATCAATATTTCATTATATTGCAAAAGCATCGACAAAATATATAAATTTTTAAACAAAATATTATTAAAGCGAACGTAATGTTCACACGTGGCTTTGATTGATAAGCTCAAAATTTTGTTACCTCGGTCTCATCTTTTATGACTGAGCCGGCACCTTGCACTGCCGAGCCGACCAAGCTTCCTTGGAGTCTCGTTCTCATTTACTCGCTGAACCGACTCGCTTCACTTCAGCTCAGCCCCAATCTCCGACAGACTCTACGACAGCATGCCGCGATTCACGACCACCTTAAAGAGCCGTTGAGGCCATGTCGAGAATATTGTCGGAGAAGTTACCTATAAATATAACGTTCACCCCATTTTCAAGAGCGCGAATACTAAATTCTCTCTCGAGTTTAGTTCGGTCGGCTACTAACTTTAGCATCCAAGTGTGTTCCGTTTTTCAGGTTCCCCTACTCAACCCATCTCCAGTTCATCCATCGAGTCATTTTAAGTCCGAACCAAGTGATTTTCTAAAATATCTATCTTAAAATCAAAATTTTAATTTGTCAAACACATCAATGAAAATGCTTAGGCTTTCCAAAATTACAATAGTGCGTCCATTCAAATTAATCCCTGCATAGCAATGGGTTTGTCACATATAAATGGTTTTATTTAGATTTATTTAATCATTCATATCTTCTCCCCCAACAAACATTTGACTTTTAACATCTAAAATTGTCAACCCTGCAGTATACAGCCAGATTCTTTCCATGAAAAGATAATTGAATTATTTTTCTGTGAGTTGAAAATTATATTAAGAGCTTGATATATAATTACCAACATTGGACTATATCTTTACGTGCCACTATGAACTTGATTTATTGAGCATTGAAAATACTCCATTTATGGCAAAGAATGCAGCACAAGTAATACACTACGAAGGATTATATGCTACACAAGAATATCTTGCTACCCGAAGTACCACCGCAACTCGATTGTTCGCTTCACGAGCATGAATTGGGTGAAGGCAATTGGATTATAAACATACAATTAATGAACAAGATTATATTTCTAAAAACATCAACATGACTTTGCAAGGCATCACGAGTATTTTACTATATATGATTTGAAAGGAATGTAAGAATAAATCACTAAATCTAAATGAACAAGCCTATTTGAATGAGAAACAAAAATGGTTCAAGCAAAACCTCTCTCTTCTAACAGAGAGAGCATAACAAACTTAACAATGCTTATGTCATGAAAGGGCATGATAACAAATCTTCAGTGCTGCTACAATTCTTACCAATTTTTGCAATCAGAAACAGGGTACCAACTTCTCAAGCAAAAGCCAACATCATGATCATAAACTCCAAAAAAGTTGTGCAATTTTTTGTAGTTCTCTTATTGTATACAACATATCTTAGAGGTGTTCAAACAGTGTTACATTTAGTATAACTAACTAGTATCTAATTTATCCATAATACGAAAGGAAAAAAAAAAAAAAAACCATTCAACCTCATTTTGTAATCAGATCTATTTTCTTATGATAACCATTTTGAATCAATCCTCTTTCAAGAATAGCAACTGTTTTCTTTTCTTTACCAAATAAAGATGGTTTCTTTGAAAGTTCAAGATTGCCCACAGCAAATGCCAAAGGTTAATTTCTGGCCAAAGCACAGAAGGAGAGTACAAATAACTTGAAGAAGTCTGCCACAAAAGAAAATTGCTCAGGCGGGCCTCTCCAGATGTGCGAATTAACATATCGGGGTTGGAAGTAACCACAGTATGCAGATTCTTCTCAACATCAGTTGATTTTATGAGGTTCTCACCATTTTCAGCCACTAGTAATTTGCCTAAATCACATCCTGCTGCATTTGAACTTTTTGAACTCATCTCATCCCATTTTTCTTCACAAGACTTTTCAACAGCATGAACAATCTCATCAGTGGAACTGTAAGCAACACAAATTGAAAGGACTGCTTTGTTATTGTTCCTGGTGGCCACCATAGCCCTTTCAATTGCATCCCTCACAGGTTGGTTCAACAATTTTAAGTTTCCTAAAAAGTAAAGTCTGACTCCATATCGTTTCACAATGCTTTCTTCTCTAATCAACAATTCAACTTTTTCCAGGATCAGATCCATCACACTTTGAACTTCTTCTGGACTTCTATTAAAATTATCAATGCTGAAAGCATAAATTGTGACATACCTCACACCCAATTCATAGCAGTACTTGAGCATGGAAGTTAAAGCCATATACCCGATCCTATGGCCAGCCCCTTTCCCCAACTTCTTTTTCTTTGCATATCTCCTATTCCCATCCATGATGAAAGCAATATGATTAGGAATCGAACCAATCGATATAACGGTAAAAATACATCTCCTAAGGAAAATAGCAACACGTTCAAGAATCTGATTCAATATAACCCAAAAGGTGGTCCAAACATTCCCAAATCCCATCCTGTTTGATCACTGGATGTGTGCACCAAGAAACCTATCAATGAAGCTAAGATTAATCAAGAACGGAATTTTCATAGGAAAAAAAAAAGAACCAATCGAAATTACAGAAACAAAAGATTGCACCAGGATGGCATTTTCCGTCTAAACTCTAAACTAACAAGTTTATTAACATCGAGAGTCCATAGACAAAAATAAAGCATTCAAGTATCCAAAAGATCAAAAGTAGTAGGGGCCAATGCATTTAACTCAACACAAAGCATACAATACATAATCAAACATACTCCAGAATCATCTCATCTTCATCAAGAACCTTATCGAACCGAAAATCCATGACCAAGAATCATGTTTCATTCTGGGGGAAATTTTCCATGATCGATCAAGAATGTAAAAGAAATGAATGCTACCAATTCAAATTAGCAAAAGAATGGAGTCGAAGGCGAAAGAAAGATGAAAACTTACAGAGGAATTTCTGCCGCTACGGAGTGGAAAAGAGAGCAGAGCAGCCTGAGGGGGCGTGATGGAGACTGAGCTCTGTCATCAGATATATATGTTTGAGAGTGAAGGAGAAGGAAAGCACAGAGAAAGAGGGAAGAACAAAGAGCGTGTGCCCTAATTCCTAAATTCATATTGGGGGCATGAGCTTCGTGTGACGGCTATAATTTGATTCGGGTCGGTTCGGTTTGTGTCCGACTATTCAAACCGAATCAATCAACAAGTGGAGATAGGAAGATTCGAACTCATAACCTTTTATCAAATACAGACTAGTTATTGTTTGGTTAAGTTCATGTTAGACTTAATTTTGAATTTGATAACATCGTAATTTAATTACGTGGGTTCCACCGCAAATTTCAAATCTAAATTTCGAAATTTTTTTTTTAATACAGCAAACACGTAGGTAGAACTGATAAAAAAATTTAATATATTTTTAGAAAATAATATTATAGTGAATAAAAAAATCACACTAATACTAAGTAAAATGGAGAAGTTAAATACGTAGGGATGTTCATTTTCTCCAAAGACGTATCCCACCATAAATGGGATGTGAAATCTTGAGGCAGATGGGAAAGATTTTTACCTTTAGATATCATTTTCATCATGGTTTTAAAGAATTGCATACATATATAAACTAAAACTAGTTTGACATATTTCATAACATTTTCGTTTTTAACATATTTTATTAATAATTATTTTTTTTTTCATCTTAGATTTTTACAATTACAATAAGTATAAATAATATGACATAAATTTATCAATTAAATAACTCATGAATTTTTTTTATAAATTTAAAGTACATACTAATTTTATTATTATAATATAAAAAATATAACGTGCATGCAGATGCTAATACTTTTAATGTGAAGTTTAACGTAGTTTCATCCCCACCCATCAAAACTTATATTTAATGTAACTTTGCTCTAGGGTATTATTAGTATAGACCTTCCAAGAAAAAAGTAACTCAAGATGAATTATTGAAATTTTATAGAAAATAAAGTCAACTTTTGCATTAAAGATTTTATTCAATATTGATACTGAAAAAAAATAAAAGAAAATTGAGTTCATTAGCTTGAGCATATATTAGATCCCCGTAGTGATCTATGGACAGAAGAGCGTACCAAACTTGAATGATATTTAAAACATGACCAATTTTAATTTTTAATTAATTGGGAGCATGAGTCAATTTTTTATTTTATTTACTAGTAGATGTCAAATAAAATATCGTTGATTTATGCTTATATTTTTTTTAAGTGAATTTTAGATTAGGATGTTTTTTTATTTATTATTATTGCCTTCTATTAAACTTTCTGTTTGCAGAAAAACAAAACAAATATAAGAAAAAAAAATTATTTTCCATGAAAATCAAGCTCTCATAAATCAAGCCCTAACTAATCCTCTGACCAACCATTTACTAAATCGGTAGAAAAGAGGGGAGAGAGAAAAAAAAATTACAAATTTTTGGTGAAGCTTCGTGTTCAATAGATCTCAGACATTTACAAAGTTTATAATCAATTGGACACAAAATTGAAAATTCAACGACCTATATTAGATATTTTTTAGAGTTTAAAACTATATTATATATTTTTTATAGTTTAGGGGTCTATTAATTAAACACAACCTTCAAAATTTAGGACCAAACTTGTAATTTAAATTTTAATCTCAAATTTAAATCTCGTATGAAACCATGTCTGCACTAAATTATGAAACTATTATATTTTTGAAATTATATATATATATATATATATATATATATATATATATATATATTTCTTGTATATTCTAATTATCAAATGAGTTTTATTATTTCTTGTATAGTTCTAATTATCAAATGAGTTTGAAAAAATTAGTAGTTCTTTTTTTAATAACTAATGTCGGGAGCAGTTCGAAGGACCGCACCATGTCTCAAGTGCGACCATATTGGCCATGCCCCCTTCAAAGGGTCGTGCAACCGTCCCTCAGGCCTAGCCATATTGGCCACGCCCCCTCCTTTGCAAATGGTCGCACGGCCACGATGGTCGCACCCCTTGGCAGCCAACATCTAGGCCGCGCCCTCTCCACAGCCAGCATACTAGAAGCGTAAGCCCTAGCTTTGTACCGCCGCCTTGGCAGCACCACCCCGCACCAGTTCAGCCCCTTGTTAGCTTATGAGTGACGGTGCATGCAAACTTGCCTTCCAAATTTACTTGTAGAGGTGACCAAAGTACTCCTATAAATACAAGGGTCTCCGAGCAATAAGGGTACGAATTTCCCTTCTCTCACTAAATACATCTTTATTGTATCTCTTCCTTTCCCTTGATCGGTCTTTATATTGACTTAAGCATCGGAGCGTGTTATGCCAGCACCACGTCGGTATTAGCACACTCTTCCTTTGTGCAGGTCACATTCAGTTCACAACTCAATGGGTCTAATTCGCAGACCACCTAATTCGATTGACCTCCTCAAATCACGTTTTAATAGTTGACATCATTTGTGGGGAACAACGATTCAAACTTGACTCTATCCTAGCTATAACCTTTCCAGTCATGGATCCACATAGTACTCATACCATTCAGGAGGGATGCTCAAATCTAAAACAGAGTTAACGTCCTAGCCCTTCCCGAAGACAAGAGAGGAGTTGATCCAACTTTCCTCATGAAACTCGCGATACTAGATGAGGAATAATCTCACTGTAACCACAAATCGTATGGGTAATCCACTATACCTCAAAGAAGGTGATGTCATTATGTCCGAATTAACTGGACGATGTTCAAAGGTAAAATAAGATAAGGCCAGGTTCTCATTATATTTACACAAAGAAACCACCAAGGAACTTGCACGAGTATCTGTTCTCCTGACAATTCCTTGAGTGATCCTACAAAAGGAAAGATGTCTTTGGCATTGGAAAACGAGTCATGAACAAACCTAACCATGCCTCTATTGGAACAAACAATTCATTTTGCAACGAAATTATGATTTTCTAAACAATTTGGAAATATTGGATCGACATTAAATTTCTATTTAAAACTAAATTATGAATAGGATTAGAAAAATAACTTTGTAGAATCTAAATTTGATGCTCCGTAAAATGTTCCTTGCTATGACTCGAACAACGAACCACAGTTGGTGGGAACCTTCCTAAAAAACGATAGAGGAACTAGGAAAATTATGGAAATAATTTTCTCATAAAATATATATATATATATATTTGACTTGGTCCYGTTGATAGAAGCTAAAGGTGAATTTTTTGTATCATATATTAAAATTTTAATGTTATTTTATTCTCATTTAAATAAATAATAATATCTTATTAGTATACCTCATATATTTAATAAAATATTTATTTTCCTCAAATATATTAATTGGGATAGAATCTTTAAATAACATAATATATTTTAATATTCTCATGTATTAAAATTTTATATTATTACTATATCAATAAAATATTTATTTCTTCATATGTATAAAATACATTAATTCGGTCTAAGCTTAGATTTAATGTATGTTTGTTGTATGGCATTATTAGTACAGGAAGAAAACAGTCTTATTATTTATTAATAAATTTTTGCAAAGGAAAAGGTCTTACTATCACCTTCCCAACCAAAAAATGTTTTTATTACGAACATTATCAAAAATAGATGTCCAATCTTAGATGTCAAAAATATAGATATATAAATAAATCTAATCCATGTGTCAACGTATTCATTTGCCTAACGTCTTCAAAGTGTCAAATTGAAGAATGTCCAAGTGCTAAATTCTCAATATCCCATGTGTCTATTTTCTACCTATGATTAATGTCCAAATGTAACACGTCATAGTTGTACAAATTGCCTATAGATAGTGACAATTCATGGTTAATTTGTGAGTGAAAAAATTGGAGTGGATTTTGGTGGAAAATTCATAGCAATTATGTTTTATTTTCTAAATTTATGTTTTCTATTTTCAATTTCAATTTCCATTTCGAATTTTATATTTTGTCAAATCTCGTATTTTCTCGTTGTTCGTGACTTGTGGTGCCTCATTTTGCTCCATAATTTTACAAGAGTCTTATTATATAACTCGAAATGAATTATTGTAACTTTATTGAACCTTTTGCATTAAAGATTTTATTTAATATTAATAGGGGAAAGAAGTTAAAGTTCATTAGTTTTGGCCTACTTTTAAAAAGTGAGAATTTCTCGGAGCGTGAGTCAATTTTTACTCTAAATTTTTTTTATTTCATCTATAAGTAGATGTTAATTATCCTTTTTTTTTTGTACAACATCGTGGGGGTGGGGATTCGAACTCATAACCTTCTGGTCAGAGATAGATGTCTTAACGAATTATGCTCGATTTGGCAGTTAAACTATGTTCAAATTGGAATAGATTTATGTATAGTCCGGGGCTCCCCTGATCGGGTTCGAATTCCTTCCCATTTCAAACTTTCTATTTATTTTGTGTGTTTAAGACCAACCAAGTTCGAATCCTTTCCAAGCTCGATTTTCTATTTATTTTGCCAATTTTTTAAACACTACCTCCTCTCTGCCTATTTTGTTTAATATATTTTGTCAATTTCTTAAACATACCGACGGAAGAAGTGAGGTGAAACTTGCCAAATTTATCAATTTTTTAAAAGGAAAAAGTTTATAAAATTCGTGTTTCTTTTATTTCTTATAAAAAAAATTGAAATTTTTCTTTATATAAACGTGTCAATTTTTTATAATGAAAATTCTAGTTTTCTAAAAATAACTTTTATCTTAAACACAAAACACTTTTAAATGGTGTTGCTTCCACTCCAACGTTTTTCAACTTAAAAGACTTTGTTTTTTCAATTTATACACATACATTTGTGTTGTCTCTTTAGTATAATTGTGTTTGGTAATTTTATAGCTTATTTTTATTTTCAATTTATATTTTCCCGTCACATATAAGTAATATTTTTACTATGGTCAAATCAGAATCGACACGTGTAAGCACCTACTCAGTTCCCCTCCATATTCGCCGACTAGATTCAGGTCGAGTTGAGATGAACAATCCATATTAAACAAACGACCTGAGGAATTCGACCTCAGACCCAACAGCTGTAACCGTCGGTCGGAACGACTCCAACGGCTTTGTCTCACCCACCTGCCGATAAAAGGGACATTCCACCCCTCGATTCAGGTACGCAATTTCTCCGAGAACGACTTGATACATCTTGAGCTCACTCTAACATGGGCGTCGAAATGTTTGTTCTCAGTGCAAGTTTCATTGAGATCACACCTCGGAGTTCGTCCTTGTTAGCTCGTGACCCGATCTGTGAGCTCAACAGAAAACAATATCAACACTATAAATTATTGTACCCATATCTTTTTTTATGTCTATAGATCAATTTTCGAGATTCGATTGTTCTTAATTTATATCATTTTTAATTTGAATTTTGTATTGGACATCCCATGGTTTTATTGGTTCACTATTGTCTCATCTTAAAAAAAATTAATTAATTAATTAATTTTGCAATCGAAGTGACAATTTGAATATTAATTATCTCCAATAGCTAATATATAATATTATAATTTCCCATTTGATTTTCTGCTATTCTGTTCAATTATATCTTTTTTTGAGATGATCTTAGCCTCTTTCTTTTCTCTTCCCCTCTCCCGATATGTTAAATAATTAATATATTTATGCTTAACAATTCAAATGGGTTTTAAAGAAGAAAAACATAAATAAATAATAATCATATTTAAAAAATAAAAACAATAAAAAAAACCTAAAAAGAATGGTTGTTGTATGGGACTTTTAATTTCCAATTAAAAAAGAAAGCAATAACCAAACAAATTTGTTAGTGCTTGCATAATTAAAAGCATTTAACTAAAAAAATATTTTAAAAAATGATTAAATTAAAAGACATGTCAAATTCACTTTAAATAAGATAAACAAACCAATAATATTCATCAACTTAATAAGTCAAGCTCTCAATCAATATACCAAATAAATTTAAAAAATAATGTTTATTACATGTTTGAATATTATTTTGGTTCCTTTACTTTCAACTTTGATTCATTTTGATCCATCCATGGATTTTTAACTTTTAGTTCATTTTTTAGCTCCTGTATTTTTTAAATATTTGTTTTTGTCCCTATACTTTTAAAAAGTCATCGTCCCTTAATTTTATTTTTAATATCATTTTTTTCTATTACAATTTCAATATCAATCTATTTCTTAAAATGTAACCATGATTTTGTATTAAAGAATTTCCGATATGTGTAGAATTTATATTGAATTTTGAAAATAGAGATTAAAATGACCATTTTTAAAGTTGGAGAACAAAAATGAATATTTTAAAAATATTTGAACTAAAATTAATTAAAATTGATAGTACATAGATCAAGACGAACGCTACATAGATCAAAATGAATCGAATCTAAATTTGACCATTAAAATACTATTTTCATTGAGATGTATCATTATAAAACGATCCATTATGAAAGTTAAATCTATGGACTTGGAGATGACAAGTAAAAAATAATTTAAATACCGTCTAAATTGCCACCATGAATTTTTTTTATTTTTTTTATTATTATTATTATTTTTTTTCTTTTGCCTGATTTTCAAAAGTTGTGGCGCTTACTAGAGCTTGGTTAACATTGGAGATTGGTGGGAAAAAAAAAATCTTTTGTAATTTGAAAATTTTCAAAACTTTTATAGTTAGCTATAGGCATTATTTAAGTCATTTTAGAACCTGCTATTTATAAATAATTTAATTGAGGGAAAAAAACAAACATGGATTCATTTTGATCATTTACTTTCAAAATATCAATTAGAGTCAAACTTTTCTTCATTTTAACTATATACTTTTAAAACATCCCGTTTACTGTCGGTGTTTTAAAAACGTGACTATTTTAAAAAAACGTGACTATTTTAATCAATTCATTTTTATTTTTCCCTCATTTATCTCTATCTTATGATATTTCTCTCATTAAATTGGAATGCACTAATAAATTTATATTAAAACTTTTTTATTATGTATAATTTTTGAATTTTTTCTCATTTATGATATTTTCCTCGTTAAATTGAAATGTACTAATAATTTATATTAAAAACTTTTTATTATGTATAATTTTTCAAAAATTGGATGGAAATTCTACCTTCTAACTTTTTAAATATATAAATTTTCCATTCTGAAAATTTAAAAGAACAAATTATAGAGAGTTAAGCATCCTCCGACCATCCGACCAATTAAATGTCTCAAACTATATTTCAACCTAGGCTTTATGAATTTTAGAAAACAAACCCCTAAAATAAATAATCCAAATCAATTCTTGAGACCTTTCAACTTATAAAATCACGACTCACGAGAGAAGATGTCAACTTAAATATAGTTCAATCAGTTAAGACATATACTCTCAATCAAAAAACCAATTTTTTGAACTCAAAAAATTAAAAAAAAAATAAATAAATAAATATACCAATTTTCCCTTCAATACAAAGCAACTAAAATACCCCTACTAAAAGGTCAGATGTTACACTATTATTTACTTCTAGGCTTTATCTAAGAAAAATAATAGTGAAAAGTATATAAAAATAAGCTAAAAACAATGGATCTGAAGCATTTAATTGCCCTTTTACATAGGGAAGATTACACCTTAACCAAACATTGTAGAAGAAGAATAACATAACTTACTAATTTCATATATATCCTCAAGTGGAGGCAACTCATCTCATCAGCCTTTGATCAGAGCCTTCAGTTCTTATGAGAACTGAGCAGCTTCTTCTTCTTCTTTGACCAAAAAGCCATTGGAGAGTGCAGCAAGATCTTTCAGCTCCCCTCATTCTTCCCATCTGAATCCCATCCATCCATTTTCAGCTTTGGAAATCTGATTTGATTGATTGGTTACAAATGGGGAAGCAATTCATTTACTGCTTTTGGTTCTTCTTATACTCTCTCCTCTAAAGTGCAGTTTAGAGCAGAGTATGAATTTCCATATAATTTGTTGGAATACCCAAATGCTCCAACTTCAATCAGCAGGCACTTAGCAGAGAGTTATAATCAGCTCTGTACATCTCCATATTGTGGTTTATGGCCTATTTATCACCATTAGAACTGAGAATATCCACATTGATTCCAGTGTCGGATTCATTTGCTTCCCCATCGCTCTGGTATAAGAAAAAAATGGATAGTTTAAGACCACAGATTAACGTTTTCATGGCGAACAAAAAACCGAACTTTCCTAACTCCTAGAATGTTTGACAGCCATGTTTAATAACGATTTTCTGTTTTTACATAACAATAGTTTTTCTCTCTCTTCTTCTGCAGAAGATTGGAACAATTTCTTAAGCAGTTTTCGGAATAAGAAATAACACAAAGCAGAAACAGTATTAAAATGCATGGAAGTAGTTTATTGTTTTCATGCTTTTTTATTATAATTTTTTAAATTAGCTGTTTATTTTTAATTATTGATTCCTTTTAAACTTGAGTTAAAACGTCTACCTGTTCAGTCTCCTTCACAAAGGGTTCCTGAATACCAACGTTTGAAACCTTGGAAAGATCCCTCAAAATTCCCTATCGCATTCAAAGTTCACTAATGAGAACTCAAGGAAAAAAAAATACATCCATTGAGAAACACAATCGAAAAAGCTCATACGAAAAAATCCAGGGAAAAAACCCAAATATTCTATGAACTTAACTGCCTACTAAATATTTCAAGGCAAAAGGTGGTGTGGTGGAACTCAATAGTCAAGAACAAAGTTAGAATCCAGGATACCTCATAGTATGCAAATCTTTCTACCGGCATGCCTCAAAGATATCGACAAAAAGAAATTACTTTTACCGAAACCAGTTTTTTACCTTCATCATAAACCATATGGAATGTATACTTTTTCTTTTTAATGATAAGTTGAGCTTTCATCGAGACAAATGAAATAATTACAAAAGGGCATACAAAGAAAACCTAACAAAAGGAGCCAAACTAAAAGAAAAGGCTAACAATGAAAAATTGTAATGCTACAACATAAGCAATTCTCAAAACTCCGTAAGGTCTAGTTTGTATTAACTTTCCTTCCTAACCAATGAAAATTTGAAAACAAAGACTGATCTGAAAAATCTAACTTAAAACCAGCATCCACCAACTGAAAGCACCTTCTAGATCAGAACCACAAACATAGCACATTTGACAATGAAATGTTAGACACCCATACTTTACCCAATCATTAAACTCCAAAGTACCATGCAAGTTTCAGCCCAAGAAAACAGTAAATCATTTCATGGATGATGTTATATCACCTAAAGGACAAACTCATATTAACAAACAAACCTTATTGGCCCACTTGAGCCCACATGCGTTGCACAGAGTCCTCGGGCCAGCTGGTCCACGACGCATCATTGGTGTAGATTTTGAACTGATTCCACAATGAGTACATCTGCATTAAGAATAATGGAAGACAATATTAAAAACTTTAAATTAAAAGAAAAACTGAATATTCTGGTCTGAATGAGAATTGAGCATTTTGATATTCCAGTTGGATGCAAAACCAACTGGCAACTCAAGCATATATTAATAGAATCATCAGGAGAAATTGAAAAGAGAATGAGTTGGAGGACACGCTGATGATACTCAGAGTTATTTAATATTATAAAATGGGACTTGTGAGGATCGATAAATACTTACGAAGTTTCCAACATGCCATCATCTTGTCCAGAATCCAACGTCTGAGCCAAAACTGAAGATGAGCCCACTCCATCTGAAATAGCTTTAGAGGATATAAACTGGCCCTTCTTCCGCTGCATTCTGATGAGTCCAGACAAGAGTTGTTAGATCAAGTCTCAAGAATAAAATCGTCTTTTCTCTCCTTCCATGATTTGAGTATTTGATTATAGTTAGTTTAAATTCTTTAACTATCATACGCTGAGCACTACAGACAACAAGATGGGAATAATGCGACAAAGTAATTTAGAAAATATACTCTGGATAATGAAGGAGATGGATAAACATCATATTGAATGGCATGTAACAGAAACAACATTGAATTAGTGAAAATGTATAAGTACACTAAAATATGCTTTCTGCAAAGATCATCACAGTTATAAATTCCTCCTATTTTTCCTGAAAGTTATTAGAAATATTATAATTAAAATAAAAATACGAAAAGTTGTTCCTATCAACTTCTAACTTATTCACACGTTGTAATTTCCTTTCCATCAATAGCTCTTATTGTCTTTCATTCAAGAATATGTTCTTAATATTACGAACAGCCCATTCAACATCCATAAAACCTATAATTAATATCAATAAAACATTTCCTACATCAGAAACTTTCTTAACCTTCCTTATCTGAAGATTTGAAATTGAAACGTCACCTGCCACAAACCTGAGGAATGTTTAAGAAAATCTCATTTTGACCCAACAGATATTTTATTATACTAATACCTACTATTTTCTTTGGACAGGATAAACCCTACTATCTTCCCAACGTCAATTCTACTTTATATACCTGAGTGCAACTTCTTTTCGCACATTGTACCGAATTTTCTTCTCAAAACACCTTTCCTTTCTCTTCTCTCTAAACCTACTCAACGAAGCAGCTCTTTGTGGTTGAACTGACCTGATAGGAAGGCCATCGGTACCCTGTAAGAATTACAACAGAACTGAGTGTGGTAGAAAATCAACAGCACAGCACCCGATGATTTAAATCAATATCTGGAGGGTAGACCATTCAAATAATAGTTTGCACCTGCTGGTTGATGGGTACATTTCCAACAGCAGGAATACCAGAAGGAATTTCGTATCCACCTAAAAGCAAAAGCACGGCTTGCACCTGTCAAATTTAACCAGGAAAAAGCTTCAAAATCCCTCAAGTTCATATTCATGTACTAGAACCTCAAAACAACTCCTTTAGACGGAATTGCATGGCATATGTGGACATCACACCAAACGTTTCCTAATTCTAATTTGGCAATCATTGTCTCAAGTTCAGCTCACACAATCTCTTCATTATTCATCATCTTTATTTCTTGTAAGAGACACAAACTTTCAGTGATCATAGATTCATAGAGAAGTAAACTACAGCAACATAATACAGGAAGCTCCCTGTAGGATCATAAAATTATACCCCTTCTCTGAACATTAGAAAATCCTTTAACCCAGCACTCTTACGATACCTTTTACATCAACACTTCCCAATTTGAATAAACTACAACAAAATCATTATTGTAAAACGAGCTGGAAGTTGCACTCCATAAGTAAGCATGAGTATGGTATAGATCAACTTTTTCACACCACTCCAACATTTATCATCGTACCGTTCGCAAATTAGCCAAACCCAACTTCAAATTTTCAAATAGTAAAATCTTCAGCAAGTGGCAGAATAATTACAGAACGTAATGCACAATTTACGAAGATTATGGACACCCAACTGAAAACCAAACCTTGTCAGGCGAGACAGAATCAAAAGCATAAACCTCCCCCCGGAACGACAGCGTAAGCTGGTCGGCGCCGTTTCCAGTCAATGGGTTGTAATCGGAGCCGGAAACATATGTCGCGGGAACAATATCCTGAACTCGGTTCATCACCGAGACCGAGCCGCTTATTCCTCCGGAGTCTTCGAAGCGCATCTGAGGGTTGTCAATGGACTCTTCCCCGCCGGTGACGTCGTCTTCTTCATCACCCACTCGGTTCTGAATGTTATCCAAATCCCGGCCACCGTTGTTCATGGCTCCGGAACCGTACATCGCGTCTTGGAAATTGGATTCCGGCATTTCTTATAGCATCACACAGGAAGGCCGAGAAGACGCTAATTTAACAAGGAACCAAAAAGTCCCCAAAAAAATTATAGGCCAAACACAATGGATTATCGAAAAGGTCGGCAGAAGAATTCTGAAAGAAGAAATCCCAGCCGAGAAACAGACAATTCACAAAGGCTTGGATTTCAAATTCCAAACAGGAAAGCTCTATACAAAGGGGGAATTAATTAATTAACCCCGCCTAAAAACCAAAACACAGACTAGAAACAACAAAAACTGAAAATCAAGTAAAGCTACCGATTCCCAGTCCAAATTCAACCCCACCAAATGCCCCCGAGCAAAGGAGAAAACCCTAGAAAATCGAACGAAACATCCGAACGCAGAAGAAGAAGCAGTAGTGGAGGTCGAAAGTGGTGGAGTATCAGCAGGAAGATGAAAATGGAAGGCTGAAGTGGCAAAACGGGAATCTGAATTCATCCGAAAAAAGGAAGAAGATAACGTGGGAGGAGAATCGCGAGGGAGGAGATGACAAGGGCTGAAAATGACCTTGAAACTTGCGGGTTTTTACGGTGGATGCCACTCGGTTCCGTTCAGCTGTAGTTGAAGGGCAAGAAGAGGCCATTTTCATTCTTCATCGGAGAAACCGGCGGCGAAACAGCGCCGGCGAGAAGAGAAGACATAGCCGAAGATGGAAAAGCAGCGAGAAACAGTTGCTTCCCTTTCGCTTGCAGATCGCGTAATGGCGGAGGCGCAGGCCTTCATCGTGTCTCTTTGTTTGCTATGATATTTCATATTTCTATAAATTTTGAATACATCCAACAATTATATTATTAACCGTCCATTGATAATCTTTTAAATCACCAACTATTGGTCAAGTGGTTCGAGTATAATTTTAATCTCAATTCCTATAATTTAAAATGTTTCCATTTAATCAAATATTCTTTATTGATAAATGTTATAATTATTGGGAGACAAGTTTACGTAACATAATAAATTGGTAGAAGTTTAAATGATAAATTAGACAGTAAATAAATATTTTGACCCATTAACATTTTTTTATATAAAATTTAGACAAATTAAGTTATGACTATGTCCATAAAGAATCTTATAAAATAATACTAAAATCTTAAAATATTTCAAATATGTTGAACGTGTAAAGTGCATAACAATCGGAACATAGTTGATAAATTAAAGAGAATAAGATATATATTTCTTTTTCCTTTTTTCTTTTTTTCTAAACAAAAAATATATATTGGCTTAAATATTTAATCGACTTCCTTCCCTGATATTTTAAAAGCAACTTAAATCAATTTACATCCTTCTAAGTAAAGGTTTATTTTATTTTAATCTCTAAACTGACTTAAATAATTTATTTTATTTTGATCCAGGTTATTCACTTTAATATTGAAACCTCAATTTTAATCTTTAAAACTTAAATAAGTAATTATTAGTCCAAATCATTTTTTTTTTTTTGGTACACCAACAAATATACCAAAAATTCAATACATTGTCTAATGTTCAAAAACAAAAATGATGTTGGCAAAGATCAAGATTCTCGATCTCTTCCTGAATATTGATCAACATATATTCAGGAATTGCCCTACTAGTTAGATTCAAGATCCGGGTGATTCACCCCGACCAAGTGGAAAAGTTGCATATATAAGGAAGTTATTTTTCTTTTAAAAGTTTGGGGTGAGATTTAAACCAAAATTTTAATATTACAGTGCTCTGATAATATGATGGAAAAAAAAAACGCTCAAAGAAGACATGTTCCATCTTTCAGAAGCATAGAAGAATACTTTTTGAGGTCAGCTGGGTCATCTTTTTGTCCTTTTGACGTCTCACCTGCAGAAATCTATAACCATGGAAGAATTATGAAGCCAAATAGCCTTTCCTATTAGAATAAACACATACCGCCCCGAGTTGAATTTTAGTGTACAATATTTTCCGGGAGGGATTCAAAAAGCTATCTAGAAAAATTTCGAGCCAAACTTGTCATGAAGATCCGGTGAGAATGAAGGCGTGGAGGAGGCTTTGCGCTGCCTGGGTTTCATCGGGCGTTCCAGATATGACGATGAGTCGATCGTTTGTTATGGGGTCGGGTTCATGCACCATCACCTTCGCACCAGATATCTGATACAGCAGAAAACCAGAGTGATTTAACAAATGCCAGTTTGTGAAGTATTTGTAAATTGTAAATCACTGTACACTATCGTTTAAACAAAGCAAGACAGCAGTTCAAGTGGATGTGATCAAATTGAGACGCAGCAAAAAGAATGATTCTTTTAATCATATGATTTTTTCAAAGTTTCTCAGAACAACAAAGAGAGATCAAAATGATAGATGGTGCATTGTGTGTAGAACGAAATAGAAATGGGAAAAGGAGCAAATAGGGAAGGAGAAGCCTCGAGAAAGGCACACCAAAAGGATGCTTTTCATGAACTTGAATAGGCACAAACCTGAGCACATTTTTCTTTCTAACAAAAAACATAATTAAATAATCAAGACTCGAAACTTTGATACCCATGCCTATTTAAGGTTTCAATTATGTTATTGACCAAATGCGGGTTGATTTGACATGTCGGTTCGAAAAGTTGCACATACTATATTTTATCTCGCCATCCACTTCCTTCTCTGCCTTTACATGTCAAATCAACCAACGTTTATCTCACATCATCATCCATTTAATTAACATGGACTAAATTTCCAATCTGACCAAAAATATATAACCCAATTCAGACCAAACAAGTTTTTTTACAAAGACAAAGACCTTCTAATTGGCTCTAAAGATAGGAGGGTTATTATATACTCATCCACCATCCATATTTCCAAAAGCTAGTGGATGAGGCATGGCTTTCAAAACGGTGGTTTTAACGAACTCTTATCACTAGCTAAATACTATTTTCAGTTCCAAACGAATTACGTTGCGATGCTTTAATTTATTTTTTATGGGAGAAAAAACCAACTTTACAAACCCAAATCTACTTTAGATAGCTTAAGAACCATAACCAAGATTAGTGAAGTTCATCATCAAATTATAAACCCCATATTTGAAGCACGCATTTTACCTGTCTTAGACGGGCCAAATTTGTGCCATTCTCTCCATACACTAAACTGATAACATCTTCGGGAACTGCAATTTCTACAGTCGTGTTCGTCACTATAGCAGTTTTGTTCCCACTGCCAACAGAGAAGAAAAATGTAGAAGACTTGAAATGACAATCAGATATATCATCTTAAAATACTAGACTTTTCAATTTTCCCTATACAGCAAGGTAGCAACCAGTAGCTTTCTTCAGCTACAAAACTTCAATAACTGCATATACTTCATAATCTAGGTAGCACAGACACACTTAAAATGGCGAAGTGTCGGTGTCAGACACGGACACGTGTCCAAAATTAAATGTTTATTTTTTATTTTTAAAAAATGGGACCCGTTGGGGACACGCAAGGGTCCTTTTTTTTCTTTTTTTCTTTTTACCTAGTTTTCTTATTTCTTCTTCATCAACCGACGAACAAGCTATAGGTTTTCTTTCTTCTCTAGAAACCAAATAAAAAAGAACCCAAAAGTCATGTATACCCCAAACTTATAGAAGATAGGTGAACAAATAAGAAGGAAGAAGAGGTGACAGTATTTAGAAAGGAGGAGAGGAGAGGAGGCGAGAAAAAGAAGAAAAAGAAGTAGGATGTAGCAGGTTGTGACGAAACAAATAAAAACTATGGTTAGACTATTAAGTGGGAAGAGGGAAATCCAAGATGAAAATTAGATCTTCTTGATTATGAGAGAAAAATTATGGCTAGAGTTAGGTTTTCTTATATATATATATAATTTTTGTTTAAATATTAATTAAAAATCATATAAAAAATTAACGTGTCCCCAACGTGTCGTGTCCTACTTTTTTTGAAATTTACATGTAGCCGTATCCGTGTCGTGTCGTATCCGTGTCACGTGTCCGTACTTCTTAGTTCATAATAAAATGTCACAATAAATTTTGGCAAGCAAAGAAACATCAGCATGCCCATCATATGCCAATTACACCACAAGTTCAATACATGCAAGGAAATCCAGTCAACATTAAATTTGATGGTTCTTGGCTCCTATGTCCGTTGAAAATAAATGATATCAGGATAAGACATATCCAACAAGACCAGCCAAGTAATCAAATTTTTGATCCAGATCAAAAATTAGAGGAAGGAATCAAAGAATTGTTCTATGCCCATCCATCGCCCATATTTTTAAAATTCAAAGATATTCCAGCTGTCAAATGGACAAGAATGTGTGTTACCAACCTGCCAAGTTGTACTCCACCCCTATGGGATGGCACCCCCCTGACAGCATCCAGAAAGGCCCTAGAATTTTCTCCAGATAAAGACTGCAAACATTTACATAGTGAACCTGATAATCCGAATTGGCCTAGACAAAACCAGTTTCATTTTTTTAGGGGGATGTGGTAAAGAAAATCTACCTGTTGTGATGCCCATAACACCGGTGATGATGGACTGTCTAAACTGTGAGAGATGCACAAGTCATCCGTACTTTGAGTTGTAGTATGTTGTATAAAGCTACTATGCGAAGAGCCAACCGGAGTAGTTCGTACTGGAGGTGCAGGATCCCTCAGTCTTCCATATGGACTGGTCTCAGGATATATGGAGGAACCAGCACCATTCCTTGTTCCAGAGTTACTTAGAATACTAGAGAAAAGGTTATCCCGCAGTCGACCAGTAACATTGTACAATGCATCTTGAACATTTGAAAACTCACCTGAAATCTGTCAAAATGCAAATATGAAATCACTAGAAATAAAAGGAGAACAAGCCATGCTTTATTGAAAAGTTTGGCATCACATCTGTTAATCCATTATTAATGCATAGTGAATCATTTTTCTTTGCGCATGAATGGGAGTTGTAATTCTAAGTCATAGTGTTAGTTAGTCACGAGCTTCTCTTAAAACTATTTGATCATGAAGCACACTGCACATACAGCAGAAGTCCCTGGTCCCTGACCCGCTTCCAATAACAAAAAATGCTGAGAAAAACATATCATACGAGGTAATAAAAGCACAGAGATGTTTCCATTAAAAATATACGGACAGATGGGATACAGAATTTTCATGCTTTAGAAAAATGAACATGCACACATTTCTTAATGATTGGGAAAACAAATACTAGCAATATTTTAAGGACAACATATGATAGTCGCTGCCCAAGGATCAAGCACATCTGCCAATCATATCTGAGCATGTCATGCATGTAGTAAAAAGAAAGCTCGCAATTCAGTTCATACTCGGAGCTAAAAAATGGTCAAGTTGGTGTACGCACAAGCAAAATTAATTCCAGAAGTTAAAATCACTTTTTTTCTTAAGAATAGATTAACCAAGAAAGCAAAAAACAGTCCTCTAGTGTTAAAATCATTCTGGTGGCATACACGTAATACTTTTTTAATAAGAATCAATTACAACTATAAAAGCTTAAGCAAATAGACAATAATAACAACTGACAAAAAAACTTCAGGTTTTAATTCAATTTTTAACATTATTAAACATATATATAATTGAAGATAAACTAACAATAATCTCAAACTTAATCCCAACCAGTTCAACAAGCAAAATCAAGTTCTTGTCCACCATGTGAAATTTGATTTAACAATTTATGTTACTCATACCCACCCCATGATCACCAAGAGGAAAGTCCAAAAACTACCATGAACCAAAATTCCAAAAAAACTATTAAAACTGGTATGATTTGGCTTTCCTGTACCAGCATAACTAACATTTTTAACAGAACATTGAAAATAAAGATGTTTAAGCGTCCTAGTAATCTAATAAACTCCGAAACATTCAACCAAGTCAAAAATACTTCTCAAAATTGCTATTAAGTTCACTTACCGACATTTAAAAAACGGCTGTGTCCATAGAAAGTAAGGATGGTGAAGGAGTAAAGAATTTATCACCAGGAAAAACAAGATGTCTTTCATTCTCACCTGTACTATTTCATCATTCTCTGAGGCACACTTTGGGACCTGATCACTTGATATTATTGATATGTTCGTTAATGTGACCTTCCTGATTTCAGAAATGATAACACCTCCTTTTCCCAACACACAACCAACTTGATTTGATGGAACAACAAGCCGTGCCACAACAGGTGATCCCTTATTTGAGCTCATGCCTTGCCCATTCTCAAATCCCACATCTACAGACCTAGAGAAAACAAGAACAACAGCCTTTTGTGCTGGCGAGTATCGCGATTCAATGTTCTTCCCAAGATGAAACAAAAGATATTAAAAGAAAAATAATGTCAGTACATACAGTACACAAGGGATTGTAAGTGTATAAAGAAAATCAGATTGGTAAAAGAATACAAAAGGATGTCACACCTCAGAAGCAGTAATGCTTATCAATCTCTCATCACAACCAGCTACTGATGGTCCAACACTTACAGTAGCACCAGATTCATTCTGAAGTGCTCTAACAATTGAACCACCCTTGCCAATCACACCCCCAATCCTGTCATTGGCACAAAGAATCTTAAAAACAACTTCCTGCTGTGTAACTGTTGTGTCAACTGGGGACAGCACATCAGCATCCATAGACTGCGAATGGATTCCTGAAGCAAAAATGCTTGAACTGCTAGGCATGATGGGCAGAATTGAATGCCTCTGAAAAATATGGTCCATATGTAGATCAGGTAAAGTCTCATGGATGACTGCTTCAGCAGGTCTGCTTGCAACTGTCCTCGTTTTTTCACTTGGAGGACAGTCTTGAAGACGGCGAGATACAGCAAGAAGTGCTTTCTTGATAGCCAAAACATCCCCTTCTATCTGCCAGAAACAGTAGTATATTCATAGCAGCAGATACATGGTTGGCTTACTTTAACTACAGAGTTCAGCAGATATCAACACCTCCTAGATATTCCAGGGAATGTTCTTAATTAAATATATATATCCTATGATAATAAACATAACATGAAAGAGGTAAAATGACGTGACTTGTGAGAAGCCCCTCAAACACACATGTCGTGATTGCAATAACTACTCCTCAAAAAAAAAAAAAAAAAAAAAACCCTTTTGTACGAGAAGAACCTACAAAATGGAACATATTTTATGAAAGTCAAGATGTGCTTGACAGCCTATCACAATTCACAAAGAGTAATAAAAACCATAAAATATTAAGTGAAAGTCCATATAAAATTTGGCCTACACAATCAAGAAAGGAAAATGAAATAATTGCATTGGCCCAAACGAAATTTTCCTTAAAAAAAAAGAACAGGGGTAAAGCTGCAGATTTATCTACCTACCTTCTTTCTTCTCACGAACCAGGTCATATGTTCACACACACACGACAAGAAAAAATAACAGAAAATGGAATATCCCACCATGAAAGACAACTAGCATACTATCAAAAAAATTATCAAAAGAAATGTAGAATAAAACTGTTCAGTTGCTCTAAAAGGAGATTTCTCTCCATAGAAATATCATGAACGAAACTGCATCCTGATCTAGCTACTTTAGTTCTTCTCACTAACCAAGTTCCAGGGCTACACAAGCCCATACCAAATTTAGGAGTTTGAATTCAACATATGCAATGAACCTACTTTTTCTCAAGCCAAAATCAACTCCTAAAAAGTGGCTGGATTGAAGTATCTCGATCATTCTTCATCCGCCCGCTAGCCACTATCGTTTTTTTTTATCTTCTTTGTCTGAAAATGGGTTTGATTTGCTTCACCTATGAGAATTTCTACGGATTCTTCTTCAATGCCACAAAATAAAACCCGTAAATGCATCTACTATCGCGTCCATTCTGTTCAAAAACCCATAACCAGAACTAAAATCCCCCTTCATAACTATAGAGACCTCCAACCTAAGAGACAAACTCAAACCTCGCAACGATATGAAAACCAAAAGAAAGAAAAACATTTACCTCAATCATCTCGTCAGAAGGTCCTGCACAAGCCGGCAAGTTATCTGTCAAGACCCTAATCTTACAACCACTCTCCTTTCTTATCTTCTCC